CCAGGGTAATATTAATTCGGCCGCTGTTGGACCAATCGGCGGATCTGGTGAAAGTAATTTTTCAGGACTCTCACTGGGACTGTGTGATGGCTCACGTGCCGCTGACGATGACGACGGTGTGGCATAGTGTTGGACAATGCGAGCTTTGGAAGCATCAAAACCGGGTAAATTTTGTATGTGAGCAATTAGGGAATTATTATTGGCACGATCAGAATCCGCTGTCGTAGGTGGCAGTTTGTTCGTTTCGTGTTTTGATTTCGAGTTTTCGATTTCGAGTTTGTGATAAATTGGTGTGGAGTGTTGAGATGATGTTGGTATAGTTGTGTATATATGTGTCATTTTTTTTTTTTTTTTTTTTTTGTGTAGAGTAGAGGTGTTGTATATCCAGTCAGTTTTTTTACAATATTTTATTGTAGTTGTTGGTTGATATGTCATCGTAGTATATAATAGACATTTATATGTAAATATTATAACGATTTGTTTTATGGCACAGGTTTAGCAAGGCGCAAGAGTATTTTTTACAGTTTTTTTTTTAATATTTTGTTTTTTTTTTTAAGTAGAAGAATACAAACAAACGAAAGAAAAACAAGAAATAGTTGTTTTTAAGTTATTACAAATATAAATTTGTGTTAACATATTTTTGTGTAACCAAAGAAAAAATAATAATAGAAAGAGATAGAGGATAGAAATGATAATGAGATTTCTAGCGTCGTCTGGTCAAAGATTTTACACCATAAATAATAAGGAGCTGCTATTTAAATATATGCCTAGAAACTGAGCACAGGTTCGGAACAATTCAAACTATATTTTTAAAGGACTTCCCAAAAGTGAAAGTAAAATAAAATCAAAGACTCTTCACGTTGTGACATTTCTAATCATGTGAATCCTCTGTGGTGTATAAGTACTGTCGTTCATATACGACACCTTGTCCATATTATTAATAAAAATCATACGACACTGTGGTCTAGAGATAAAATATACATTTTCAGAGGATTATTAAAGGCGTGGTTTAAAAAAAAATCTCAAAGAATATCAAAGGCGTACATTTTTAAATATAATTTTTAAGGACCAATACAAGGCGTGTATATTTTAATTTTTTTTTTTTTTTTTTTTGAGGACCGATCTAAGCATTGATCTCTTAAATTATTTTTAAAATTATGTTATAAGGTCTTCCAAAAGCGTTGATTTCAAAAATAATTTTTTCAGGGTCTACCAAAGGCGTGGATTTTTTAAAAGAATATTTCTCAGGGTCTAACAAAGACGTAGATTTTATAATTTTATAAGCGTGGATTTTTGAAAGGATATTTTTTCAGAATCTACAAAAAGTATGGTTTTTTTAAAGAATATTTTTTTCAGGGCCTACCAAAAGCGTGGATTTTTGAAAGGATATTTTTTTAGAATCTACAAAAGGTGTGGATTTTTTAAAGAATATTTTTCGCCTTTTGTAGACGACGTTTTTATAAAGAATATTTTTGAGAGAGTCTACTAAAGGCGACGTTTTCATAAAGAATATTTTTCAAGCGTAATTTTAAAAAATATTTTTTTAGGGTCTACCAAAGGCGGCGATGTTATAAGGAATATTTTTAGGCGTGGTACGATCAGGAGTGTTGTAATGCTACTGATTTGAAAAACGCAGCGTATAGAGCAAACCTGCAGACAGTAGCAACACGTAGTGCGATGGAGAATTATCGGGAGAAAAGGAGAAATGTATTTTCAGCAGAAAGAACGAGAAAAACGTGAGCGTGAGCAAATCGAAATGTATAGGAGTCAGAATGAAGTCCGGAAATTTTACCAACGAGTAAAACAGAAAACCGAAGGTTTTTGTGCAGGTACATCTTCCTGTAGAGAACTATTCAGACCTGGCAAATCCACCATTGACCAGATTTTCACTCTGCGCAATATCTTGGAAAAAGACCCACGAAAAACACATCGTCACATTCTACCTATTCGTCGTCTATAAAGTCGCATTCGAAAGCCCTATACGTTTAGAGGGGTATAAAGCCATGCCTGCGTTTGGCATTCCTGCAAAATTAATTCGACTATGCAGGATAACTTTAAGTGGCACAATATCAGCAGTTAAATTCGGAAAGGACCTCTCGGTGCCCTTTAATACCAAACGAGGATTCAGACAAGGTGATAGTTTGTCGTGTGACCTTTTTAACATCCTGCTGGAAAAGGTCATACGAGAGGCAAAAGTGAACAGAAATGGCACTATGTACACCAAACAACACATTCTACTCGCCTATGCCGATGACATCGATATAATGGGTCGAACATTGCGAGCGGTAACAGCCACCTTTGAACAAATTAAGAAGGAGTCTGCCAAAGTAGGCTTCGCAGTAAACGGCGAGAAGACCAAGCTGATGGTATCAACGCGCAAGACGTTTACTAGACTTGGACCAACTGTGGAACTTGAGAACTACAGCTTCGAGGTATTTAAAAATTTTATATACCTTGGTACCGCCATAAATAAAACGAATGACATCAGTTTTGAAATTCGGAGAAGGATTGTGATGACGAACAGATGCTACTATGGTCTAAGTAAGCAGTCCACCTCCCGCCAGACCAAACTCACACTCTACAAGACGCTGATACTACCCATGCTGTTATATGGATCTGAATCATGGGTACTTACGCAAGAAGAAGAGCTGCCTCATCTCTTGGGGTGTTTGAGAGAAAAATCCTCCGAAAGATCTATAGGCCGATCGGTGTTGACGGTGAATATCGCCGTCGAATGAACCATGAGTTCCACCAGCTATTCTCATATATCGACATTGTTAGACATATTGAGCTGCAGCGACTACGTTGGCTAGGTGAGAATGGATGAAGATGTCCCCGACCATAAGGCATATAAAAGCGAAGCAGCTGATGGTTCACGCAGAAGGGGAAAGCCACGAATATGATGGAAAGATCAAGACGAAGTCAACATTGCCGAAAATGGTCTTTCAAATTGGAAAAACTGCGCAAAAGACCGACGCGCCTGCTAAGTAAGTAAGTTTCTTAAAGAATTTTTTTCAGGCTCTATTAAAAGTGTGGATCTTTTAAAGAATATTTTGTCAGGTTCTACCAAAGGTGTGGAACTTTTAAAGAATATTTTTCAGGTGTGGATTTTCAGGGTCTACAAAAGGCGTGTAGTTTTTAAAGAATATTTTGTCAGGTTCTACCAAAGGTGTGGATCTTTTAAGGAATATTTTTTCAAGGCCAGCTATCACTGGCGTGGATTTTTAAAATAATATTTTTCAGGGTCTACCAAAGGCGTGGATTTTTTAAGAATATTTTTCAGTGTCTACCAAAGCCATAGATTTTTTAAAGAATATTTTTCAGGGTCTACCAAAGCCATAGATTTTTTTAAGAATATTTTTCAGTGTCTACCAAAGCCATAGATTTTTTAAAGAATATTTTTCAGGGTCTACCAAAGGCTTGGATTTTTTTAAGAATATTTTTTCAAGGCCTACCAAAGGCGTGGATTTTTAAAAGAATATTTTTTCAGGGTCTATCAAAGGCGTGGATTTTTAAAAGAATATTTTTTCAGGGTCTATCAAAGGCGTGGATTTTTAAAAGAATATTTTTTCAGGGTCTATCAAAGGCGTGGATTTTTAAAAGAATATTTTTTCAGGGTCTATCAAAGGCGTGGATTTTTAAAAGAATATTTTTTCAGGGTCTATCAAAGGCGTGGATTTTTAAAAGAATATTTTTTCAGGGTCTATCAAAGGCGTGGATTTTTTAAAGAAAAGGCGTGGATTTTTTAAATAATATTTATTAGGGTCTACCAAAGGGGTGGATTTTTTAAAGAAAAGGCGTGGATTTTTTAAATAATATTTATTAGGGTCTACCAATGGGGTGGATTTTTTAAAGAAAAGGCGTGGATTTCTTAAAGAATATTTTTTCAAGGCCAGCTATCACAGGCGTGGAATTTTTAAATAATATTTTTCAGGGTCTACCAAAGGGGTGGATTTTTTAAAGAATATTTTTCAGGGTCTATCAAAGCCATAGATTTTTTAAAGAATATCTTTCAGGGTCTACCAAAGCCATAGATTTTTTAAAGAATATTTTTCAGGGTCTACCAAAGCAATAGATTTGTTAAAATGTTTTTTTCTTGGGAGGCTATCCAATTCGATTGTAAAAATTATGTTTTCGCGGACTATCCTAGTCTTATATATTTACAGAATTCTTACTATTTCCTCCCACTGTGCTCAGCTTGAATACTAATTATTTTCCTTTCAATATCTAAACACAAATATAAAACCTAATAACAAAATTATAAAACTATGGCATTTTTGTTTTTTTTAAATAAAAATATAAATTGATAATGCAGGGTGACCTAAAATTAAAATATAACATTTTAAATCATCTTTTTAGGTCACCCTGTTTTATATTTCAAATTTAAATAAATAAAAAATATTTTTATATATAGAAAAAAAACAAATACAATTAAATATATAACAATTATAATGGGGACAATTACAAACAAAATGAAGAGTTTGATAGGGGGTGGTTAAAGGGGGGTTTCAACTCATACCGTCTTTAGGTAGAGAAAACAACAAAACAAAGGGTTTTTTATATGTTTTAATTTGATTGTTAAGCTCAACGAGAGGAGGGTGTGAGGATATTTATTTTTTTAAGGATATTAAAAATTTTCGTTTTATTAAAGAAAATATTAGACATCAATATAAAGAGAAAGAGTAAAAGAGACAGAGATAGAACGTAAATAAAAAGTAAAATTTGGAAAGTTTTGGAAAAAACAATTGCTATTAACTTTGTTAAATGTAACACCAGGGTGGGAAGAACGCAGTTGTTTAAGGACAATAACACAGGGAGAGAACGGGGATAACAGAAAATTAAAAATAAAAACAAAACAAACTGAACTTTGAACATAACCAAAAAATATAATTTAAATTAACAACAAAACTTAATTGTAAAAATTAAAAAAAAAAACATTTGGTGAATAAAAAATAAAATTTTCGAAATACGCACACACACACTAGACACATAATACTTACGTGATGATTTCGCCGTAAATGTTAGACCATCCTCCCAGTCATCATTTTCATTGACCACCGTAACTTCGGTTAGTTTATTGTTGGGATTTTCCTCTGCTGATTCATTAAGAACTTCATTAATATAATTATCTTTATAGAATTTAATTTATAAATATATTAAAATTTGAAAAAATTAAATGAAATGAAAAAGCGATAAATAACAATTTTGATACCACATGACATGATGTTAATGGAGTGTGTAATCAGGCGGGGCAGGAGGATCAGATCAAATGTTAGTGTTGATGAATGTTTTTTTTTTTACACGTTTTTAATAATTTTTCGAGCGATGTCCCAATTTAGCGGATTAGTGCAGAATGTATATTTTTGTTGTCGTTTGAGTGTTGTTTAAAGGAAGAAATAGAGAGAGAATAAAAAAGAGATAATGAAATGTATGATTAATGGCGGTTTGATGTAACTACTTCTATTTTTTTAAATCCAATAAATATATATTTTAATAATTAAAAAAAAAATAATATTGATTTCGATGTATGGTAATGTGAAGGAATTAATGAAATGAAAGAAATGATAACAGAAATGGGAAATTATAAATCAAAAATAGGTAAATTGGAAAGAAAACTAAATATTTGAAAAAAAAGACCACGAAAAATATATGTAACAAATATGGTAAGCTGCAAAGTGGATCAAAAAAAATTCAAAATATTATTCAAGAGCAAAAAAAAAAATATGCTTAAAAAAATTACATGTATATTTTTTAAAGCATATTTTTTCAGGGACCATAAACGCGTGGATTTTAAAAGAATATTTTTTCAAGGACTAGAATGTGTCTAGAATAATTTTTTCAATAAAAAATATTCCTTCAGGGTCTACCAAAGGCGTTGATTTATAAAGAATAGGTTTTTCAGAATCTGCTAAGGGCTTGGAGTTTTTAAAGAATATTTTTCAGAGTCTAACAAGGCGTGGTTTTTTAAGAATATTTTTCAGTTGCCAATATTTTTTTTTAGAATGTGTTTTAGGTTTTTAAAGAATATGTTTTAGGGTCTAATAAAGGCGTACATTTGGTCTAGGAAGGCTTGAGATTTTAAAAAGATATTTTTCAGGGTCTAGAAACGGCAAGAGATTTTTAAAGGATATTTTCAGGGTCTAGGAAAGGCGTGAAATTTTTAAATTTTTTTTTCAGGTTCCACCAAAGGCGTGGATTTGTTTAAAGAATAATAATACTTTAGGTCCAATATGAGGCGTCAATTTTTTAAAGAATGTTTTTATGGACTACCAAAGGCCCGAATTTTTTAAAGAATATTTTTGAGGGTCTACCAAAGCCCTGGACTCTTTAAAGAATATTTTAGAGGGCGTGCCAAAGCCGTGGATTTATTAAAAAAATGGATAAAAAATTTGAGGGTCAGAGATAGGCGTGGATATCTTAAAAAATATTTGTGAGGGTCTGAGGTAGGCGTGGATTTCTTAGAGTATATTTTTAAAAGTCTGAGATAGGCGGAGATTTCTTAAAAAATGTTTGTGAGCGTCTGAGGTAGGCGTGGATTTCTTACAGTATATTTTGGAAAGTTAGAGATATGAGTGGATTTCTTAAAAAATATTTGTGAGGGTCTGAGGTAGGCGTGGATTTCTTAGAGTATATTTTTAAAAGTCTGAGATAGGCGTAGATTTCTTAAAAAATGTTTGTGAGCGTCTGAGGTAGGCGTGGATTTCTTAGAGTATATTTTTGATGGTCCGAGGTAGGCGTGGATTTCTTAGGGTATATTTTTGAAAGTCTGAGGTAGGCGTGGATTTCTTAGACTATATTTTGGAGGTCTGAGGTAGGCGTGGATTTCTTAGAGTATATTTTTGGAGGTCCGAGGTAGGCGTGGATTGCTTAGAGTATATTTTTATAGGACTGAGATAGGCGTGGCTATTTCTACAAGTTCTATGTTAGGCATGGATTTCTTAAGAATATTTTTGAACGGTCTACACCAAAAGATTGGATTTCTAAATAATATTTAGGGTCTATGATAGGCGTAGATTTTTAAACTTTTTTTAAGGAGCCTTTTTGTAATATTTTATAAGGTCTATTAGATTTATAGACGAAGATTAAAGACTCTCTGAACCGTATGCGCAGATTAAAAAATATCTATTTAATGGAGGACTATCTGAAACGGATTAAAGGGCTATAGGTGGAGATTTTTGCGAATATTTCATTGAGGACTATTTGAGCCATAGGCATGTATTTTTAAAGACAAATTTTTAAAGTCGTATTAAATTGGGGAGGGTTCATATATTAACTGGAGGGATCCTTTAAAAAGGGAGTCTTTATAGAAGAATATTTTTTTTTTTTTAAAGCTGAAGGGAATATTTTTAGAGGAGCTGAAGTGGGTCTTTATATACGAGCTGAAGGGCGCCTTTATAGAAGAATAGGTTTTTTTTTTTTTAAAAGCTGAAGGGAGTATTTTTAGAGGAGCTGAAGGGAGACTTTATAAGCGAGGTGAAGGGAGTCTTTGAAGAAGAGCTGAAGGGAGTCTTTATAGAAGAAATGAAGGCGTCTTTATAGACGAACAAAAGAGAGTCTTTATAGGCGAGCTTAAGGGAGTCTTTATAGACAAACGGAAGAGAGGGATTTATAGACAAGCTGAACTATCTGAGGTGAATGTAATATCTATAGACGATCCTGTGGGAGTATTTATAGAACAGCACGAACGAGTCGCGAGCAGAAAGTCCCTACGGACTACCTAAAGGGAGATTCAACAGGCGAATTGGTGGTAGTCTCTATAGACTTGATTAAATATGTTTTTATAGAATGTGGGATCTAGTGAAGTGCTGACGGGAGTATTTGTAGGCGATCTCTGTGGCGAGTTTTTATATACGAGCTGACTGAAGTGCATGTTGAAGAAAGAAGTTTTATTTTAATAGAAAACTTACAGACGAGGTTTATAAAGGGACACTTATAAGGGAGATAATGAGTTTAAATATACCATATTTTCTAGTTTGGAACCTATTAAAATACCCAGGCCATCATATGGTCTATGGACACCTCTATGGTTTGAGCTATTAAGATACCCAGGCCATCATAGCTCTAGTTGAGCTGAAAAGCTGAACGACAACTAAAGATGAGTACTCCTCAGGAGGTATATGTATAAGACTTTTTATACAAAAATTGAACGAAGAGTCATTATAGGCTCAGACAAGGTGAAAACATGACTTTATACACATACCGAGCTCTAAAAGTATTTGGCCATAAGATTAGTATTTATAACATAGAGTCTGTATAGATGAACACGACAAATTACGTTTTACCTTCTTGAAGAAGTATTGAAGGAATTAAAAAAGGTCCAGTATTGGGTATCAGTGTTTCTGAATATAGATATGGTATGGAGTGATTAAAGACATTGGGTTTATATTGATTATTAAAAGGATATTTTGTAGACAATCGGAAAGAAGTGAATAGGCGAAAGGAGTATATTTAGGCGAATTCAATGGAGTTTTTATAAACAAGCAGACTGGAATTTGTCTAGAGGAAGGGAGTTTTTATAGAGTATATTGAGCAAAGGTAAATTTTTATAAAAAAAACTACAGACGAGCTGAAGAATGGGGTGATTATAAATGAACTGCTAGGCAAAGAAGCTAGGTCTGGAAGCTATGTAGACTCCCATGGTGACCTCTGAATATCGAGTTCTAGTTGAGCTGAAGCTAACAAGAATGCGTGCTCCTTAAGGCGGAATTATAAAATGACCTGAGAGACGTTATAGACTGTCGGCTGTTTTAAATTACGATATGAAAACATGGAGTCTTTAGGAACATACTGAGCTCTTAAGGTCTTTATGTATGGTCATAAGTGGTATTTATAGTAAAAAATGGGCAGAGTCTAGTCAGGAGCTATAACAGCTGACTGCACATTTGCACATTGAGGAAGGGGATTGTTTGTTTTATAGGGAAAGATAAGTTCAGGGACGGGGTACATAATACAAAAGTTACTATATTTGTTACATACATATTTTTTCTTAAACTAATTTACAAACAAATAATAATAATTAACAAAATAAATTAAGAAGGATGGACAAATAATAATTAACAAAAAAAATATTCAAAACTAAAGAAAAATTCCTAACTACTATAACAATTCTTGAAGGTTGATCATTTGATCAACCATTTGTTTAGCATTCTAACTTCTAGCAATTTTTGTGTTACAAAATTGACAATTAGAAGTGAAGCCAATTAAATTGTTTTTCTTAAAAATAGGTATTTTTGGTTTGTAAAATTTTTAAGATTTTTTTTTAATTTCTTTGGAAAAATATGATTTTAATGAATTTGTTTGTTTTTGTTTTTAAATTTTTTTAAAAGCCATTTACCTATTTCTAATCTACGATATTTGTTAAGTGAATTGTGAGAATGTTTTCTGATTAGTTTTTTGCGTAAATTTGTTTCATTCTTACTCGTACCGTGCGAGAATTGTTTCGTTGTTCCATTTTGTTGGAAATCGTGGAATGATACATGATTTTGTTTGACGCCATCCTGGGGAGTAGAAACAAAAATATGTTTAGATTATTTTGAAATTTGAAAGGAATGACAAAAATTGCTGACCTTATTAGCACCGCGTTTACTGCGCTTGTGATGTTTACGATCATTGAACATGCGTCGGAAGTTCATTTGCATTTTATAGTTAACCTGCAAATGGAAGAGAGAATAATGGATTAGTTTTTGTTATCAAATGGAAAATTGGAATTAAATTGGTATGGGTGTTGTTGGAGTTATAAATTTTGAGGCCACATCTACATCACATCTAATACTTAGCTACGGGAATTCCAACTGTCCACAATATATGGGATGGGGGAAGTAATTTCGCCACATAAAACCAATATCAGTTTGGGGGGGGTCATGACCAAAAGGTTGTAGGTGTAATACAGTGTCCTTTGTGTTCGTGCTCCTTTGTATATAGATGTGTGATATACCTGGTTATATTTATGGCAAATTGGATTTCTAATAAAAATTAGATTTTTGAAATCCAATTCGCCACTAATTAACCCTCAAATGAATGATGCAATTGTGAGGATTTAAAAATAATGATCCAAGGTGGGGCACGAGTTTATCTCCAGTTTATGGGATCAACAAAATTTGCACTGGATTTAGTTATTTAAAAAAATGCAATTTGAAGCCTCAAAGCCGGTTTGAATTTTTTTCGATGATTTTTTTTTTTATCGAAATATTTTTTTGCTTTTCTCAATGCCCCGTAAGCCAACTAGTAGTGATGTATTCGTTATGAATGAAGTTTCCATGGAGGGTGGGTGCTGACATTGTGTCCACACATTTAACTCACCTGTGTCGATAGATCTCTGTCATCTACAGCGTGACGGCTATAACTAAGACGGCGGTGCTGTAAAAATTAAAAATGTTTTGTTTTTTTACTACAATCTTGCAAACAGATATTTTTTTATATTTTTTGCTTTGAATTATTTTTTTTTAATTTTTTGCAATAAAAAATCAACAACAACGGTGACAATTAATAAAATATATGCAACAACAAGGATAGGAAGAAAACGATAATACAAAAGAGAACGTTTGTTTTTTTTATACGGAAGTATATTTTTGTACAATAGATATTGAGGTAAGGATAGCGGCGAAGAAGGTTATAGGGAACAACATATTATTATTTTTTTTTTAATAAAAATAGCTATTAAATTTTAGAAGAATTCCTTATAACCATCTTCGTCGGTATTGAGTGGATACATAGACATTGAGTTAATATTTCTTATAAAAACGGTCAAGGGTTAATATTAAAGAAAACGGATTAAAATATTGAACAAATAAAAAATATGTATCAGAAAAAACCGGACCTAACAAGAAACAGCGCAACGAAATGAGGAGGAATATTGTAAGAAAAACTGAAGGGATCATTTATGTAGAACACCTAGAGACATATGCTAAAGGGAGTCTTAATAGGCGAACTGGAGGGACTCAACCTTAGACTGGTTAAATTGAGCCGTTATAGGCAAACTGATCGGTGCTTAGCTGTTGGGATTCTCGATAGACGAGGTGAAGAACAACTGATGTGTGTCTTTGTAGACAAGCTGTGCCATGTGTTTTAGGAGACTTTATAGAAGAGCTGAAGAAGGAAGTATTTATAGGTGAGCTGAAGAGAGCATTTATAAACGAGCTGATGTGAATCCACATATTCGAGCTTATTTATAATCGGACTGAAGGAAATGTTTATAGACTAGCAAATTTGAGTCTAAGAAAGTATTTATAGGCGTTGTAGAAGATTTCTTAAGGCAGTATTTATAAACGAGCTGGACGGAAATTTATAGACGATATAACTAAGGGATTTTCTATAGACTAGTTATGATTGGTGTGTGGACTTTTATAGAAGAGCTATAAAGGGAGTTTTTGTAGACGAGCTCTGGTGGGAGTCTCTACAGACTGAAAGTTGAAGAAAATAGTACTTTTTAAAGAGCGGATAACCATATGGAGTTCTGGAAGCTGACTATCAAGTCGTCTGTGGATATCTCTGAAAATCGAACTCTATTTGAGGTGAATGAGACAAACTCGAGATGAGTGTGCTTTTGGTATTATTAAAGCAGAATCGTCTATAGAGATCTCTGAAAATCGAACTGAAGAAGATACACCAAATAGGTGTGCTCCTTAGGACATATTTAAGTAGAATTTTATAGACGAAAGCTGACAGCCTTTATGTCCTAAATGACGAAATGAAGACATGATATCCATATAGACTTGGCCTTTATGTATACGTCTGAAGGTTGAGCTCTAGGAGACAAACTAAGTAGGAGTGTTCCTCAGGAAGTATTGATAAAAATAATTTGTAGTAGGGAGTCTCTATAGAAATCGAGTTTATATTGATGACCAAAAGGAGATAATGGAAACGACCTGGTAAATATTAATATGGTTTGATATTAATATTTTTTGTTAAAATGAAATAGAAACTTCAGAATAAAAAAAGTTTTTAATTTATAACATTTCCTTAGGAATTTTATAAATGATTTTATAAATGATATTGAGCTATGGATGATCTTAAATCATTTTTAAGCTCCCTGTATATAAGAAAAATAAATTCAGTTCAGATGTACGAAAATTGAAGGGGAAATTTTAAATCTCGCAATATTGTTGTGATATTAATAAAAATTATTTTTTTTATAATTCTTGCGCAGTAATTATTAATTAATTTAGTAGTTGTTATTTGTTTTTAATTTTAGTTTAAACGTTAAAAACTTTGGTGCTGAAACATGAAAACGTCAACAGTTACAAAAACGGTGCTATGAAATAATAGAATAAGTAAAATAAGTAATAACGGACATGCTAAACAAAAAATAAAGGAATAAATAAATTATAATAAAATAATAAAAAAAATGTTATAAGAAGCAAAATAAAAATTACAAAACTTAAAATTATATATCAAAATTAGTTCAGTAAAATATCGACGGTGCTAATAGTAGCTGTAATAGCCTATGGACCATTGCAATGATTTATAGAATATAAACAAATTTTATTTATCGACCAATACAGACATTTTCAGGGCAACAGCTTTTTAGGACACCAATTTGTATACCCTACACAACTTTGTTGTCAGGCTATTACATCATTGTACAACCAAAAGAGTTTGTAACGCCGAGAAATATAGGAACTAGACCCACTTTAAGTATATCGATCGTCATATCTCGACTGGCTGGGTCGATCTAGACATGTGTGTCCGTCCGGCCGTCCGTCTATCCATTATAATTTGTAAACACAATACAGGCCACATTTATGGATCAATCGTCAAGAAATTTTGTTATAAGACGGGTTCTGATCAAAGAAGATCCTTGTTTCTTGTAAAGATCCGTTAATATTTAGGGGATGAAATGGACAAAAAACTTTATTTTTGTCTAATTTTCTAGTCGCTCCAGAGGCCGCAATTATGGCCCGAACATCGAATTTTTACATGAAGAAGGGGATAGGGCCAAAGAATAAGCATACCTGTTTTGATAAAGATCGGTCAATGTTTAGCAGGTCAAATGGACCCTCACTTTTGTGCGAAAAATGACAAATGTTGTATTCCGGGGCATATATATTTACTCCTGAAGGACATAGACCCGAGAAGTTCCGGATGTAATTATTTAAAGGTGTCTAAGTGTTATGATATTGTTTAGTATTACTATTACCGCACTAGAGGTCGGAAATGTCGCGCTTTAAAATTTTACATGAAGTTCTGATTATGGTAAAGGACGACACCTATAATCTTCGATTACGTTGAGATGATATTTAGGGTGCATGAATCGAAAACTTAATTTTTGTCAGATTTTCTAGTTCGCTCTAGACGCCATTTTTATCTGCAGAACATATCATATTTTACACTGTGTAGGAGGTCTGACCAAATATTTAGAACAGCTGTTTAGATGATGGTCGTTCAAAATTCCATAGGTCAAATCAACCAAAACCTAAAATGACCAAATTGTTATTTTATGGCGTAAATGAGGATGAAGATATCGCGAATATAGAACCGCTGAAAGTGAGTCTTTCGTGGTAGTTGTGTATAGGTAATATTGGTACAGGAAAATATCGCGAATATAGAGCCGCTGAAAGTAAGTCTTTCGTGGTAGTTGTGTAGGGTATGGTATGATCGGCCTAGCCCGACTATACTGCCCTGCTCAAGGAAAACTTTGGAGAATAAGATGTCCCGAATCAAAAAATTTTCCAGTTGAGGGATTTTTAATAACGGATATTAATTAATGTTTTGACTATATTGGACTAAAGGTAACCATTTATAAAATACAAAATATGGCAATTGAATATGGACAGAATAACTTCGTTTGTATGGAGGAAGAAAGGGTCATAATCAATTCTATACTCGGTTTCTAAATCTCTTCTCAAACTGTAAATAAAAAATTGTATTTACATAAGGGGCGGTAAGGAATATGTAAAGATTACAAAATGGGAGTCATTGGTAAAAATGTATAAGACAAAGGCGTCTTTATAAACATCCTCATATATAAAGTGCAGAATATAGATTGGACGACTATATTGAGCTTCCATAAAGGAATTAAAAATGCCTGGCTAGTGTGCATGGTCTTGTTCGGAATTAGACATAGGCTTCTGCCTGTCTGCATATTAAAACCTCGATAGTGATACCAAAATTGAAGGTAAAATGTTACACAGACATTGATAATACTTCTAGGATGCTTGGTATTGACAATAGGATATATTAGTCCTTCCGTTCTACTAAAGGTATTTTAATCGACCTAGGCTAATTTTCTAAGTGATATGACAATATTTTGTGATTACTTGCTCATGGTGGTTTAATGCCCATTAAGTAGATTATTTTCAATGTAGGTACATGGTTTAGTATATAATATTTTAAACATATTCGACAACCGACAGGGCTGTAATTTGGTATATCCGGTTCTTAGAGAGTAGAAATATATTTGCTGAATATTTTTAATATATTTTTATGATTTGACCCGTAAAGATTCCACCCGATTTTGGTGCAAGTAGACTCATTTTAAATCAAAGTGCTGGCAATTCAGGGTAAAAAACAAACAAAAATTTGAATATATGTCAATGTATTGCCATAGCCGCCATAGAAATGTCTCGCCCATTTTGAGGTATTTTCGTGGTCCTAGGTGCATTTTTCAACTGAAGTGGCTGCAATTTTCGATATAGGTACAGGTTTGGACTTTATTAAAATAACCTCTTGACAATGACATACCCTCATATTAATGTGCAAATAGAGTACAGAATGAAATCCTTTTAAGGCTCCTAGACTATAAAATTGAGTATCTTATTTAGGTTATGGGGTGTTCCACCATGGTGTCCACCTGAAAGGCTTATTGTGGCTAAAATTCAGAATTTTTTTATGTTGGAACATACCACCCAAATCACCTTCGATCAAGTAATCTCTTCTAAAGTATTTCGAGCTTCTTCATATGGTGTTTATATTTCAAGGATATTAGTATATCGGTGTAGAGATCTTTAGGACCTTTGAAGAATCACAAGTTTGAAAAAATGTCTCATATTCATCGTATAGATTTCTGAATACACACATAAATAAATTGAAAAAAACAGAAATTTTGTGAACCCAGAAGATTTGTGGACTTACGATTTAGAAACATCTATATGTGATTACATCAATAAACACTGAAATAACCGAAAAACAGAGTTAGTATATTGCATTTGCGGACACTTATATTGTTAGATAGGATGCAGAAGAGAAGAAGTAAAGGGAGAGATATAGAGAGAGAGGACACAAAATACTTTGCGGGCTAAACATCAAAAAAATTGATTTGCAAAAACAAAAAAAAGGAATAAATCAAAAATGCTCAAAATAAAAAAGGACTCAAATAAAAAATTTTTAAATAAAAAGAAAAAAATCAAAACCAAAAATTTTAATAAGAATAGCAGTAAAAATAGAACAGTAACAACCAATTGTGGTTACAGATTACGAAAAGAACAGAAGATTTTTTTTTTAAATTAAGAAACATTAAAACATTTTTGTTCTTTTTTAGTTCGTACCATTTGTATGGAGGCCTGGTAGGTAGTAGACGAGTTCAAAAATAATTTTGAATTAAAAATTTTGCGATCGAATCGTTTAATCAAAAACAAAACATATAAAGCAATGTTTTCAGTTGATGATGTGGGGCGAGGAGGAAAGGGTAATTTGGTTTTCCAAAAATAAATATCGCCAAAAATATATGATGAAGTTTCAATGAGGAAAAATAAATTATGATAATGATAGAAATGTAAACGATATTTTTTTTGGTTGGGTGGGGAGTTTTTTTTCGGTTGGAAGTGGGAATATATAAAGAGAAAAAAAGAAAAATTAATTAATTTTTTTTAAATATATATCTCGGTTTATAAAAAAATTAAAATAGTTATAAATTTTGTTTATATATTTTTGTATAGCAAATAAAAAACTTAAACTAAGAGCAATAATAATATAGATTTTCTTAATATCTTAACATAAAACTATAAAGAGTGTGTAAGTGTAGTGGAGAGCGTGTGAAAATGTTAACTAAATAATATTTGAAAGAAATATATTTGAGTGTTTTGAGAGAGAGTGATTGAGCGTTCTAAGAACTAAGGTGTCATATTTAATTGTTTGGAAAATATAAAATAATTTAATATATATTTTTAATATTGCTTAAGAAATAAATATTATGTATGTATCAATATATATGTATTAAAATATTTGCATAATAAACATTCTGTTAACATCATGTCTGTATATAAAAAAGGGCTGAGAGAAAAAGAGAGATACAAAAGTACAACAGTTCTCCGAGTGTGTACTGTTAATGTATTAACAGCAACTGTTAATGTATTAAAAGCCTCTGTTAATGTACTAACAGCCTCTATTAAGATACTAACAGCCTCGGTTGAGTTAATAACAGCCACTGTTAAAGTATTAACAGCCCCTTGAAAGATATTGACAGCCTCTGTTAAGGCACAAACAGCCTCTGTATATTAACAGACGCTGTTAATGTATTAAAAGCCTCTGTTAAGGTACTAACAGTATCAGTTAATTTAATAACAGTCTCTGTTAAGGTATTAACAACCTCTATTAAGGTATTAACAGGCACTGTGAAAGTATAAACAGACACTGTTAATGTATTAACAGACACAGTTAATGTATTAACAGACACTGTTAATGTATTAACAGACACTGTTTATGTATTAACAGACACTGTGAAGGTATTAATAGACACTGTGAAGGTATTAACATACACTATTGAAGCATTAACAGCCTACGTTAAGGTATTAGCAGCCACCGTTAAATATTAACAGCCACTGTTAAGGTATTAACAGCCACCGTTAAATATTAACAACCACTGTTAATGTATTAACAGACACTGTTAATGAATTAACATAGACTGTTAAAATGATAAAAACTCTTTGAGGTGTTAACATTGGCAGTATCTGTTAATGTATTAACAGACACTGTTAATATATTAACAGCCACTGTTAATGTATTAAAAGACACTGTTAATGTATTAACAGACACTGTTAATGTATTAACAGACACGGTTAAAGTATTAACAGACACTGTTAATGTATTAACAGACTCTGTTAATGTGTTAGCAGACTCTGTTAATGTATTAACAGACACTGTTAATGTATTAACAGACACTGTTAATGTATTAACAGACACTGTTAAGGTATTAACAGTCTCTGTTAATGTCTTAACAGTCTTTTTCAATGTCTTAACAGTCTCTGTTAATGTATTAACAATCTCTGTTAATGTGTTAACAGCCACTGCTAATGTATTAATAGCCACTGTTAAGGTATTAGCACCCGCCGATAACGTCTGAGCAGCCTCTGTTAAGGTCCTAACAGTCTCTGTTAATGGATCAACAACCTCTGTTAAGGTATTAAAATTCTCTATTAATGTATTACAAGGCTCTGTTAAGGTATTAACAGCATATGTTACGTTATTAATAGCACATTTTAATGAAATAACAGCCTCTGTAAATGAATTAACAGACTCAATTAAGTTCAAAACAGCCTCTGCTAATGGATAACCGGACTCTGTTAAGGTATTAACAGTCTCTGCTAAGGTATTAACAGTTACTGTTAAGGCATTAACAGTTAATTTATTAACAATAAAGGTATTAACAGTTACTGTTAATTTATTAACAGTTACTGTTAAGGTATTAACAGTTACTGTTAAGGTATTAACAGTTACTGTTAAGATATTAACAGTTACTGTTAAGGTATTAACAGTTACTGTTAAGGTATTAACAGTTACTGTTAAGATATTAACAGTGGATTAACAGTTAATTTATTAACAGTCGCTGTTAATTTATTAACAGTCGCTGTTAATTTATTAACAGTAACTGTTAATTTATTAACAGCCACTTTAATTTTATAGCAGTCTATTTTAAGGTACTAACAGCTTCTGTTAATGTATTAACAGCCTCTGTTAATTTATTAAGAGCCTCTGCTAAAGTATTAACAGCCTCTGTTAAGGTTTTAACAGCCTCTGTTAATTTATTAAGAGCCTCTGCTAAAGTATTAACAGCCTCTGTTAACGTTTTAACAGCCTCTGTTAAGGTTTTAACAGCCTCTGTTAAGGTCTTAACTGCTCTGTTAAGGTATTACCTGCTCTGTTAAGTTCTTAACCGCCTCTGTTAAGGTATTAATAAACTCTTTTAAGGTATTAATAACCTCTTTTAAGGTATTAACAGTAACTGTTAATTTATTAACAGTCACTGTTAATTTATTAACAGTCACTGTTTATTAACAGTAACTGTTAATTTATTAACAGTCACTTAAATTTTATAGCAGTCCCCGTTAAGGTATTAACAGCTTAGGGTCTTAACAGCCTCTGTTAATGTATTAACAGCCTATGTTAAGGTCTTAACAGCCTCTGTTTAAGTCTTAACAAATTCTGTTAGGGTCTTAACAGCCTCTGTAAAGGTCACAAAAGCCTCTGTTAAGGTCTGAACAAATTCTGTTAGGGTCCTAACAGCCTCTGTTAAGGTCTTAACAGCCCCTGTAAAGGTTGCAAAAGCCTCTGTTAAGGTCTTACAGCCTCTGTTATGCCATTAACAGCCTCAGTTGATGTTTGTACTTCTCTCTTGTCTCTCAGCCCTTAATAGATATGTATGTTTTGTTTTGTCATAAACCACATAACATAACTATGCATGTCAATTCAAATGTTTGTCTTTGTAAAATAGTAATGTATAATTATTTAATAACGAAATTAGTTGAAAATAAAATATTTCTACATACCCTTCTGTACGGTTTCAATTCTTCAGCTAGCAAATGATGAATCTTCGCGTCTGTTAAATCCTTTTTGGATGGATTATAATCCAATTCATGCATGTCCAAATTACGTGAACAGGTATTGTCTAGATTGGTAAGACTGGGGCTAAACAATGGATAGCAGAAAAATGGAAGTAAGGAAAAAAATGGGAGAAAATATATTAATATTTGTGATTCATATTACAACACCCAAATGTAGGATACATATGCTAGTGTGGAAGAAGAGCAACATAAATTTTGGATAAATAGAAATTTATATTATAAGGGTAAATGTTTAATCCCCCAAATATTTTCATTATAAAAATTGTACGTTTGTCGTTTCATGTTCTCAAATTTTATGTTGCTCTTTCTATTCCGTTTACGTTACATTTAACCATCTAAGCACAATGTTTTGTTTTTACAATAATTAGTTGATGACAATATTGATTTGTGTTAACAATTTTGGGAGTCTCGAAAATGCAATCAGGAAAAATAGATCTCGACTTTTAAATTAAAGTTACAGAGGATATTATTTATAAAATTGAAGCAATTTTTTATAAGTAGAGAGTAAGAAAGAAAGTAGAAAGGCTACTAAGAAAACCTCTACTACATTTAGCAGATATTTGTAAAACGACACAGAACTTCAACATTTTTAAAAAAGCCATTTGAACTCCCTAAAGAATGTTGAAGTTATGTGGTCTACAAAAATTTTAATTTTTTGAGTAGCCTACGGTAAAATGATCGATTTATTAATTTCTAAAAAAATTACGTCCAGCATTGGTTAAGCGTCCAATCATTAATTTTCGTTCGTTTTCCTAATTGCATTTTTCGAATACATATATACAAAAAACATTCATACATCCAATTATGATTACATAAATCTACATATCTTATTATTAGAAAAATATAAATTATAAGCTATGAGAATAATAAAAATAGTAATAGTAAAAAAAACTAAAATCTAAATAGAGAAAAAAGTAAACGAATTTCAGAAATTTAGTGCAATATTTTTAGTTTTTTTTTCGTTCTAATTCAATGTGTTGTTGTTTTAGTAATCGACATTCATTTGCTGGTTGTTATTAATGTAAGGTAATGGTTAGAGGTTAGTTAGTATTAGTTGTATTCTTTTTTTGGGGTAATGGCAAGACATTCAATTCTAAAACAAAATATTAAAGAAATTAAAATTTTATAAAAAAAAATTAAGAGGGCTTTATATAGGGCAATAATATTCCTCTACAATGACGGGATCAATTTTGAGAGTATTTATGAGATCAATTCAGAATTGTTGGCAAGAACCAGCGAGACATATATAGTGGAAGTGATGCAAATTTGGTATAGGTTGGTAATGTGGTATAGTCACTTTTTTTGTAAACTGAAAATTTTAGAATAACTAAAACATGTTCTATAGTTTGCTGTTCTCAAAAAAATAAGATAGCAATGATCTGTTTAATTTATTTAAATCATGTTGAGAATCATTACCAAAAATGAAATTTTTCATGAAATTGACTTTTTTCGGTTGAAGTTTAAAAATAATTTTTTGTTTTACGGATGTACTTTAATCGTTATTACTAAAGCATTAAAATAATCAGTATGAACTAAAAATCAAATAATATGCGCGATTGCACCACATAATCACCAATTTGGAAAAAAAAACTAGACATTTCTTCAGTAAACACAAGTGTAGGTAATGTGGTATACCTTGATTCTGCATGAAAAAAGGCCAGCACTAGACAAAATGTCATTACTATGTTAAACATTTGTACTCTACGAGAGTCTACCACGAATCACAAGGATGAAAAACAAAGGCTATGAGTTTTAACAACTTCTCCATATAAAAATTAAATATTGACATGTGTAGACATTATTATATAATAAAAATTTTAGTTCCACTCAACGTATCCGTTAAAAATCTTAACAGACATAAATCTCGAGCTAATTCGCATTCATTAAAAACAATAAATTATATAAGATATCAATTGGAAGTGAAAATTATACTATACCACATTAACATCATGTGGTATACCACATTACCCGCACTTTTTTTAAATCGCTTTTTATGGAATTTCTAATATTTTCTCAAATATCTCTTAAATTGTTAGAATAATATTATTTTCAAATTGATACATGGAAAGACAACACATGTAGCATGTTAAGTGCAAAAATTCAATTTAATCGGATAAAAAATAAAAATTTGGCGATCTAAAAACAAATGGGTATACCACATTTGCATCACCTCCTATATTTTGTTGATTAATATGGACACTCTCAACGGCCAATAACTTTTGGAAAATTCTATAGTATTTTTTATTTAAAGGCTTTCAAACTCTTCGGGGCTATCATGGTGTGAACAGGTACTTTGGACACCATAATAAACATCAAAACGAAATGAAAATATGTGGATTTCAAGGTATGGAACAATGAGGGGATCGTTGCACAGTTTCTGAATCAAGGTTATGGAAAAGGACCAATAAATATATAAATAATTTTACGAAGAGTATCCTAACACGTCAGCAGAACATGTTAAAACAATAACAGCGGGACTTTCTATATTAAAACTGATCTGACCTCAACACATTTTGTTGAGATGCTTTTAAGACCTCACCAGAAGGTGTTAAAACTTTAACAGATTCTATTGAGACCTTAACAGGTTGTTAAGACTTTAACAAAGGCTGTTAAGGCCTTATTATAGGGTTAATGACTTTAACAGAGGCTATTATGACCTCAAAAGAGCATGTTACGACCTTACCGGAGGCTGTTAAGAACATAACAGGGTATGAAAAGAACTTAACAGACTGTTATGACCATAACAGAAGCTGTTACGAACTTAAAAGAGACTGTTAGGACCCTAAGAGAAGCTGTGAAAATCTTAACAGAGGCTGTTAAGACATTAACATAGGTTGTTAAGACCTTAACCGAGGCTGTGTAGACCTTAACAGAAGCTATTAAGACCTTAACAGAGACTGCTAAGACCTTAACAGAGACTGCTAAGACCTTAACAGAGGCTGTTAAGACCTTAACAAAGACTTTTAATATATTAAGAGAGACCGTAAAGACCTTAACAGAGTCAGTTAGGACATTAACTGAGTCTGTGAAGACCTTAACAGTGCCTGTTAATATATTAACAGTGGCCGTTAAGGCCTTAACTATGTCTGTTAGGACCTTAGCATTGGCCATTGAGATCTTAACAGGTTTTTAAGGCCTTAACAAATGAGGGTTCAAGACCTTCACATAGGCAGTTATGACCTTATCAAAATCTGTTGAGATCTTAAACTGATTTTACCAGGCTTTTCAGACCTTAGAGGCTGTTAATACCATACCAGAGAGACTGTTCAGACCTTCACAGAGGATGTCAAGACATTAACAGAGCGTGTTGTGGCTTTAGCAAAGAGTATTTGGCTTCAACAGAGGCTGTCCAGACCTAAACAATGGTGTAAAGATCTTAACAGAGGCTGCAAAGTCTTTTGAGAACTTAACACAGACTGTTCGACTGTATAACAGTCTCTGTTAACATATTAACATCTGTTAACATATTAGCAGACTCCGTTATCATATCAACAACCTCTGTTAACATATTAACGTCTGCTGCTAACAGATTAAATCCTCTGTTAACATTTTAACAGCCCCTGTTAATATTTTAACAGTCTCTGTTAATATATTTACAATCTCTGTTAGCATAATAACAGACTCTATTAGCATATTAAAAACCTCTGTTAACATATTAACAGCCACTGTTAACATATTAACAGCCACTGTTAACATATTAACAGCCACTGTTAACATATTAACAGCCACTGTTAATATATTAACAGCCACTGTTAACATATTAACAGCCATTGTTAACATATTAACAGTCTCTGTTAATAATTTAGTAGCTTCCGTTAACATATTATTAGTTTCTGCTAATATATTAACAGCCTCTGTTAACAAATTCACATCCTCTGTTAACATATTAACACTCCCGGTTTACACAATTCAACCTCTGTTAACATATTAACAGCCTCTGTTAACATTTTAACAGTTTCTGTAAAAATGTTAACAGGTTCTGTTAACATATTAACATACTAACAGTCTCTGTTAACATATTAACATGTTAACAGTCTCTATTAACATGTTAACAGTCTCTATTAACATGTTAACAGTCTCTGTTAACCTATTAACAGCCACTGTTAACATATTAATAGCCACTGTTAACATATTAACAGCCACTGTTAACATATTAACAGCCACTGTTAACATATTAACAGCCACTGTTAACATATTAACAGCCACTTTTAACATATTAACAGCCACTATTAACATATTGTTAACATATTAACAGTCTCTGTTAATAATTTAATAGCTTCCGTTAACATATTATTAGTTTCTGCTAATATATTAACAGCCTCTGTTAACATATTAACAGTCCCTGCTTACACAATACAACCTCTGTTAACATTTTAACAGTGTCTGTAAAAATATTAACAGGTTCTGTTAACATATTAACAGTCTCTGTTAACTTATTAACAGTCTATGTTAATATATAAACAGTCTCTGTTAACATATTAACAGTCTCTGTTAACATATTAACAGTCACTGTTAACATATTAACAGCCTCTGTTCACATATTAACAGCCTCTGTTATTATATTAACTGCATCTGTTAGCATATTAACAGTCTACTTTCTGTATAGGTTACTTGTATGTCCGTCTCTATAGAGCCATTTATGGAAGGTTTTGAAATCTATTAGTATGATTCTCGAATTTTTTAGGTTATAAATAATTTTGAAATGTTCATATCATCCAATGAATGAAATTGTTCCACCAATATTGAAAATGTTAGCTTGAATGTAAAAATGAGAATTAATGGTTATTAGTTTAGGGAAAAAATGTTAGTAAACATGTCATTGGAAGTTAGGAGAGAAAGCATGCTGGTCATCATAATTCATACTCCATTTTTGGAATTTTAAATTTAAATATAAAAATAACATATAAATAAAAATCTATTGCCATTTCTTTTTTAACAAATACATGCACACAAATAGTTGTTGCATTGATCCCTATAAATGGTGCCGGCAGCATTACTATACAGCTGAGGGTTAAAAGAATGTGTTTGGCCCAAAGTTACGATTATGAAATTCCAAAAGAAAAAAATAAATACGATAACAGCATTACAACATTACACAAAAATTATTTTCAATTTTGAAAAATTGTTTTTTGAAATTTTGATGTCGTCTAAAATTCGTTTACCAGGTTGTATAAATAGTTGGTGGTGCCCACCTTCCACCAATGCAATTATTGGTATAATTTCTAAATAAGGCACTCATTGATTCGGTGCCAGTTATTTGACCAATGGTCGATGGATTACGGCGCATAACTTCAATGGCATCACGCATCGTTAGTTTGGAATAGGTTTCAATGATTTTAGGTTCGGCGCCCTGAAAAAATGAAAAACGTTAGTTTTTTCGATACGATTAAAGGAAATTAACAAATGAGGTAGGTGCTCAAAGGCGTATGATTGCTGACACAATGTATACGCCCTTGGGAACCTCTAGGCGTATGCTTATTGACACAATGTATACGCCAAGGTGGTTGCAAATTTTAAATTCTTTATTTTGTGCCTACAAATAAGGAGGAAAATTTTTTTAAAAATTTAATTTGAACTCACCTTAAGATCTCTCAACAAAAGTGGACGAATGAAACGGTTGTCAAAACGCTTGAACTTATCACGCACATTGTAGTTACCGGTTTTGCCAACAATGTCCTCAATGCCGGCCATTAAATGATCCATAAACTAGACGAAACAAATAGAACCGAATTAATTTGTTTTCAAAGCAAAAAGAGATCTTCGTACTCACCCTCTCATGGATACGCTCATTCATGGTGGGCTTACGCTTATTGGCTCGCTTAACATTTAGAATTTTGACCAGCGGTTTTATGGTGATGCCCTGCACGAACACGGTAAAGTATATCACAGCTATGGTAGTGGTTACAAACATATTCTTTTGAGGCACTAAACGTTCATCGATTAATAAGACAAGGGCGAATGCAACGGCACCACGCAGACCACCATATGACATGACGAACTGATCGACCCGAGACAGTTTGTGCAAGCGGAAACGATTTGCCATTGCGGATAGGATGATGACACCTGGGGTTTGGTGAAGATAATGGAAGAACAATTAGCAACTTAAATTTTGTAGAGGTGTTCAAGGGTTCCCTTACCTATAACTCTAAATACGGAACAGAAAACAATTGTCAAAACGACAAACCATGTATTCCAAACATGATTGTTGTTGACAGTGGCCACGCCCAAAAACATAAAGATAATCGTTTCAGAGGAACTTGATAACATTTTCAATGCATATTTAACGGTAGTATGGGATTTCTGGGAGATATTGGATTCGACATAATTTTTCATTGTTATGCCACAGAAGGTAATACTGCAAAGAGGAAAAAGGTGATTTAAAATCGTGATCGAAATACAAAATTTGAAGTTTCATCACTTACGCCAATATACCACTCATATGGAATATTTCAGCATTCAGATACGCCAGATATGCCATTACGAAAATGAAAATGGGTTCAATGACACGAACGTGATCGGTGAAACGGGTCACCAGACCGGTAAGGAAGCCCCAAATAATACCTGGAAAACAAAAAAACAACGAAAGTTGGATTAATAAAAATTTTAAATAGGTTCTGAGATGTTTGAACTCACCAATAACTGTACCGCCAATGGCCACCACAAAGAATGAACCCACACCATTCACCACATCCTGGGCAATAATTTCCGATATACCAATCTCATTGTAGACTTCCATCATGTGATACATTACGACCTAGGAAAATAAGAAAAATTAGGAAATGTACAAAAGAAAATTTTTAAATTTTGTCAAAGTCCAAAAGGATCGTGGACACTTTTCCCAGGAAGCCGCCAAGGTGGGGATTTTTAAAGATTAGTTTTCAGGAAGCCTCCGAGGCGTGGATTTCATAAAGGATATTTTTCCAAGGAACCTCAGAGGGCTTGGAGTATTTACAGGATATTTTTTTCAAGAAACCTCAGAGGATGTGGAGTATTTAAAGAATATTTTGCATGGAATTACAGAGGCCTTGGTTTTATAATATATTATATTTTTAAGGACTCGGAGAGGCCCAATTTTTTAATAGTTTTAGGGACTTGCAGATATCTAGACTTTTTGAAGAATATTTTTTTGGACTTACAGAGGTGCAAAACTTTTTAACATGGAATGTAAAAATTTTAACAAAGTCTGTCAAAAATTAACAGAGGACGTTAATGTGTTAACAGATAATGTTAATATGTAAACAGATAATGTTAATATTTTAACAGAGGATGTTAATATGTTAACAGAGGTTGTTATGTTGTTATCAGAAGCTGTTAAAATAACAAAAGAGTCTGTAAATATAATAACAGAGGCTGTTTATAATTTAACAGAGCCTGATGTGTTAATAGTCACAACAGCCTCTGTTAATATATTAACAGCCTCTGTTGATGTATTAACATACTCTTTTAATATCTTAACAGCTTCTATTAATGTATCAAAAGCCTCTGTTAATTTCTTAACAGCCACTGCAAATTTCTTAACAGCCACTGTGAATGTATTAACTGGCTCTATTATGTATTAACATCTTCTGTTAATGTCTCTGCTAACATATAAACAGCCTCTGTTAACATATAAACAGTCTCTGTTAACATATAAACAGTCTCTGTTAACATATTAACAGTCTCTGTTAACATCTTAACAGTCTCTGCTAACATACTAAGTGCTTCTGTGAATGTATTATTAGCCTCTGTTAATGTATTATCAGCCTCTGTTAATATATTAACTGCCTCTGTTAATGTGTTAGCAACCCCTGTTAATGTACTAACAACCTCTGTTAATGAATTAACAACCTCTGTTAATGAATCAACATCATCTGTTAATAAATTAACAGTCACTGATAAGATATTAACAGCCACTGTTAACATATTAACAGCCACAGCCACTAACAGAGGCTGTTAAGATTTTAACAAAACCTGTTAATATGTTAAATGAGGCTTAGTATGTAACAGAAACTGTTAATATTTTAACATAGGCAGTTAATATGTTAACAGCCACTGTTAATATTTTAACAGCCACTGTTAACATATTAACAGTGTCTGTTAACATATTAACAGTTAACAGCCACGTTAACATATTAACACCCACTGTTAATATTTTAACAGCCACTGTTAACATATTAACAGCTTCTGTTAACATATTAACAGTCTCTGTTAACATATTTACAGCCTCTGTTAACATATTAACAGCCTCTGTTAACATATTAAGAGCTACTGTTAAACATTTAAGAGCTCCTGTTAACGTTTGAAGACCCTCTGTTCGTAGTTGACAGCCGAAGAATATTAATATCATAACAGCTCTTGTCAGGTATCGGCAAAATCTATTAAGGACTTATTAAACTCGTTTAAGGTCCTAACAACCTCTTTCAAGCTCTGTTACGGTCTTAGAAGTTCTCACAGCGTCCGTAATGTTGCATACAGCCTATGTTAAGGTCTTAACATGCTTTCTATTAAGCTCTGAAAGACTGTTGGTTCTTAACAGTTACTGTTGAGGTCTGAATAGTTATTGTTGAGATATTGACCGTCACTGTTAAGTTCCTAACAACCTCTGTTAAAGTTTTAAAGGATTCTGTTATGTTTCTTACATCCTCTGCTTTGATTTCAACGAACGTTAACGGCTTGATAAACTCTGCTAATGCATCAACTGTAACTTTTAAGGACTCTACATTCTCTGTTATGACCTTAGCAGGGGATGTTAAGATTTGAGGGACTGTAAAGACCTTTACAGACACTGTGAAGGTTCTAAAAGCCTCTGTTAAGGGTTTTAATGATCCCGTTATGTTATTTTAAGATGTGGTTTTAATGTTTTCTGTTAATATCTGAACAGACTCTATTAATGATTTAACATCCCCGGTTAAAACCCAAACAGTAATCAGTTAATCTAAACGACTGTTAAGGTCCTAACATCCACTTTTGAGGCTTTAGTAGGTTCTGTTAAGATTCTAATATCCTCTGTTTAGTTCCTGCCATGCTCTAACCAAAACATCCTGTGCTAAGATTTAGGCGACCGTTGAGGGCTTGCGTCTACTGTAATATTTAAGAACTCTACATCCTCTGTTATGACCTTAGCAAATGTTAAGATTTGAAGAACTGTTAAGACTTTAAAAGGGGCTTAAATGGCTTAAAAGATTCCGTCTTGTTGCTGACATCTTCTGATAAGATTAACATGACTGTTAAAATGTTTATACATTGTGTTAATATCTTAACAGACTCTGTTACGATTCAAAGTCCTCTGTTAAGGCTTTAGCAGGGGATTTTTTCAATCTGAATGTTAAGGACTTAACAGTGACTTTTGAGGCCTCGATATGTACTGTTAAGTTCTTAACATGCTTTGTTACGACCTCAAAAGATTTCGTTATGGTCAAAACCTTTTATGCTAACATCTGAAAGACTGTTAAGGCCTTAACAGTCACATTTGAGACCTCTACAGCCTCTGTAAAGTCCTTAACATCCTCTGTTAAGGTCTTTACATTCGCTGTTAATGCCCTATTCTCCTCTGTTAAGTCTTTAACCAACTCAAATTAAAGTTTCTTTCAATTTTACTGCACTGCAATCTCTCATCGACGAAAAGTTGTAATGCAATAAAAAAAGCAAACATTGTTGGCTCTAAGTGCCAAGATGACATAGAATGATGACCGTATTTTGTTGTTGTTGTTTTTGTGTAATCACATTTTCACTTTTTTCAGGTTGCCCAAGCACGTGTTCAACTTTTATGACAATTTGACATTACAGGTAGATGAGATAACGTTCCGAACAAAGTTGCTCTTGTTCTTCATGATGATGATGATGCTGAGGTGTGTGCGTGTCTATCTGCTTCTTGTTCAGGTTATGTGTCCACTCTACGCATATCTGATGAATTGCTGCTCCGTTTTACATTTTTCGTGTCAAGAATCCACTTCATGTCGAACATGGCACGGAAATGAGCATTCTGTCTGTGTGTGTATGTGTGTTGGAATTAAGGTATTTTATTTCAAGGTTACTTCGAACATTTTTTCGAAAACGTTTGCCTGTTAATGGCCCCATCACACGCACAAATACCCATTTCGGAGGTGGACTGTGAGAAAGGTCATGGAAATGTTCCATAAATTGTTATTAGGATTTAATTATTAATCAATGAGGATGTTAGGAACCCTTCATACTCCCTCCTCTTCCTGTGTTTTAATAGCAAAATCCGACAGACGATTTAATGTCTGGAAACATTAATTTTGATTAATGAACACAAATATCATTTGACATATTTTCCCAATATAGGCGCTGCAATGTAACCCCCTTCAAATAACGACACAAGTTCGCCAATCGTAGTCACAACCCCAATTCTTTAAATGTCACTGCAAACACTGGAGGACGACATCGATATACCGTACCACTTGAAGATGACATAAATAGATATGATGATTCGACTTCAAATGTGGTTCTGCCCAAAGCAATTCAAATCAGAAAATTCTTCTGCCTAAAGGAACACCACACAAGCACAACCACCTACACATACCCCCTATCCTCCTCGAACAACCCCATTATATGTGGGTGCGTTTGCATGAAATTATATCTTCGAATCACCACTTACCGTCACAGCATCGTTGAGTAGGGATTCACCAAAGACGACAATGTAAAGAATTTCATTGACATGAATTTCTTCGAATACGGCCAATACAGCAACAGGATCCACAGCTGAGATAAGGGAGGCAAAGATGAAAATATCCAAGAAGCGTGGGGTGTCTTCGGGACCACCAAAAATACCAGCCAAACCGCAACCGTACAATGAACCGCCTATAAGAAGAAGAGAACAAGTGGAAAAGGATAATGAGACACATATACGTATTTTTAGTTAATGAAATTGTCAATATGTTATTGGGAATAGAAATTGTAGGAGGAAAGGGAGGGGAGCGGAATGTAAGAAGGAGCGTTGGCCATTATCACACATTATTCCAATTGTAATGGCTGCAGTCAATGGCAATTAATGTCAGTGGATTTGCGTCATTAAACTTGTATGGCTTCATTACAAATGTCAATATCACGCAGACGTCATATTGGAAACAAATAAAATCGAATGGAACAGGATAGGAGGCCGTTTGAAATCCAGCAGGCACTAATTTAATAACAAAGACGGCTGATAGATTAACATAGGCAGTTGATATCTTAACAGAAAATTGTTCTTATAATAACAGAGACGGTTAAAATGTTAACAGTGACTGCTAATGTTTTAACAGAGACCGCTAATGTGTTACCGTAGACTGTTAAAATGTTAACAGTGGCTGTTAGTATGTTAACAGCGGCTGTAAATATCTTAACAGAGGAAGTTATTGTGATAACAGAGAATGTTAGTATGTTAACAAAGGCTGTTAATATGACAACATAAGCCTTTGATATATTAATAACGGCTGTTAATATTTAACAGAGACCATAAATATGTTAACAGACGCTATTTATATGTTAACAGTGCTCTTAAAATGTTAACGGTGACTGTTAATATATTAAAAGAAGCTGTTAATGTTAACAGTGGCTGTTAATAATTTAACAGTGATTGTTAATATGTTAACAGTGACAGTAAATTTGTTAACAGTGGTTGTTATATGTTAACAGTAGCTGTTAATAGGTTAACAGTGGTTGTTAATATGTTAACAGTGTTCGCTAATATGTTAACAGTGTATGTTAATATCATACCACAAGCTGTTAATATATTAACAGGGGCTGTTAATATTTTAACAGAAATTGTTAATATTTTAGCAGAGGCTGTTACTATTTTAACAGATATTGTTAATATTTTAAGAAAGTCTGTTAATATAATAACAGAGACTGTTAATATGTTAACGTAGACTGTTAACAGAGGCTGTTAATACATTAACAGAGAGAATATTTTAACATACGTTATTAATACATTAACAGAGTCTGTTAATACTTTAACATAGGCTGTTAAAATATGCACAGAGGCCGCTTTTATACTAACAGAGTATGTTAACATTAACAGTGGATATTATTACTTTTACAGAGGCTGTTAATAGATATTAACAGATACAGGCTGGTAACACATTAACTGAGGCTGTTATCACATTAACAGAGGCTGTTAACACATTAACAGAGGCTGTTAACACATTAATAGAGGCTGTTAACACATTAACAGAGTGTGTTAAAGCATTAACAGAGGCTGTTGATGCATTAACAAAGGCTGTTGATGCATTAACAGAGGATGTTGATGCATTAACAGAGGCTGTTAATACATTAAAAGAGGCTGTTAACGCATTATCAGTGGCTGCTAATACATTACAGAGGCTGTTACCACATTAACAGAGGCTGTTGATAAAATAACAGAGGCTGTTAATACATCAACAGAGGCTTTAAATACATTAACAGAGACTGTAAATATATTAACACAATTTGCTAATACATTAACAGAGGCTGTTAATACACTTACAATGTCTGCTAATACATTAACAGAGCCTGTTAATACATTAACAGAGCCTGTTAATACATTAACAGAGCCTGTTAATATATTAACAGAGCCTGTTAATATATTAACAGAGCCTGTTAATACATTAACAGAGCATGTTAATACATTACAGAGCATGTTAATATATTAACAGATCCTGTTAATACAATAACAGAGCCTGTTAATACATTAACAGAGCCTGTTAATACATTAACAGAGCCTGTTAATACATTAACAGAGCCTATTAGTACATTAACAGAACCTGTTAATACATTAACAGAGCCTGTTAATACATTCAGTTCGCCTAAAAAGGCTTCCTGCAGCACGCCTATATGGGCTCCCTTCAGCTGGCCTATAAAGGTTGCCTTCAGCTGGCCTATAAAGATCCACGCCTTAGGGCCTCAGAACAGCCGTAAACAATTCTTTAAAAGATCCACGCCTGAGGGCCTCAGAACAGCCGTAAAAAATTCTTTAAAAGATCCACGCCTGAGGGCCTCAGAACAGCCGTAAAAAATTCTTTAAAAGATCCACGCCTGAGGGCCTCAGAACAGCCGTAAAAAATTCTTTAAAAGATCCACGCCTGAGGGCCTCAGAACAGCCGTAAAAAATTCTTTAAAAGATCCACGCCTTAGGGCCTCAGAACAGCCGTAAAAAATTCTTTAAAAGATCCACGCCCTAGGGCATCAGAACAGCCGTAAAAAATCTTTAAAAGATGCACGCCTTAGGGCCTCAGAACAGCCGTAAAAAATTCTTTAAAAGATGCACGCCTTAGGGCCTTAGAACAACCGTAAAAAATTCTTTAAAAAATCCACGCCTTAGGGCCTCAGGATAGATTTAGAAAAATTATTTAAAAAATCCACGCCTTAAGGTCTCAAGGTAGATTTAGAAAAAGTCTTTAAAAAATCCACTCCTTAGGGACTCAGAACAGCCGTAGAAAAAAATTCTTTAAAAAACCCACGCCTTAGGGCCTCAGGATGGATTTAGAAAAATTATTTAAAAAACCCACGCCTTAGGGCCTCAGGATGGATAGGGCCTCAGAACAGCCGTAGAAAAAAATTCTTTAAAAAACCCACGCCTTAGGGCCTCAGGATAGATTTAGAAAAATTCTTTAAAAAATCCACGCCTTAGGGCCTCAGGATAGATTTAGAAAAATTCTTTAAAAAACCCACGCCTTAGGGCTTCAGAAAAATTCTTTAAAAAACCCACGCCTTAGGGCTTCAGAAAAATTCTTTAAAAAAACCCACGCCTTAGGGCCTCAGAAAAATTCTTTAAAAAACCCACGCCTCAGGATAGATGTAGAAAAATTATTTAAAAAATCCACGCCTTAGGGCCTTAGCACGGGTTAGGTGCCAATACAATGCGACTTCCTGATGCTTAAACGCCTGTAAGTAAGCTTTCGGCTTCTTTAAATTTCTCATCGAAAATTGTTCATACGCAATGGCGAATCACTGCATCCCAGCTTCGCAAAAAGCCATTTATACAGATTCAATGACCCCAGAGACTCCCTATTAAGGCTTCCTTTCCCTTCTGAAACTAGAGACCTTCAAGTCTACTTGTTTTGTTATATTTTCATTATTTTAATGGTTCGCCTGCCTACTCGACCCCCTACCTATATTTTTTTTTTTTTTTTTTTTTTTTTTTTTTGTGCTACTTGTTAGATTCCATTGACGGATTACGAGAGCATCATACCCACCATTGACGTAGATGAAGATATAACAGTCATCACTGCAGTTAAAGTGTGTCAATACCACACCGAGCCAACGACTGCTGAGATGAGTTCTGCTTCGGACAGATGATAAAAATTAATGTGTGTTACAGACATTAGATAGAAGGGAGTGACTGGATGGATAGTCACGTTCCAAAAATTGGAATCCATAATATTTTTTTCATAATTATAAACCGACTAAATATTCCGACCTCAGCCCATAGAATAGCCCACCTTGTTGGTAACCATTCGTCACTCCAATTCGAATTCAATTCTCAATTTCAAACGCATAAATTAATTGATTTGAAAACTATGTCTGTACATTCGATTCGATTTATGATTTGAACTTGATTTGATATATATATGGGCAAATTATTTATTGGTGATTGGAAACATTGAAACCAGTATCAGCATCTTGACGAAGTGATTGTATTCCAAGTGACTGGTTGACTGAATAAAAATATGATTGATATGGCAGCTGAGCAGAGCCGAACACAATTTCAATAGAATTCAATTTTGATATTCAATAATTTCATTTTCATCATTGATTTCACAACTTATTTTTCCGAGAAGTGGCATCGTTCTCTCTGCTGCTTCTTCTTCTTCGCGTTCTCCATTATCGTCTTGATTCTTTCCATTATCACATTCAAGTTCATGTCCTCAGAAATTATGGCACAATAGAAATAAATACATAAAATAAGAAAACTGAATGCTGCAATGATTTTCAAGATATCAAAAAAATAATTCAGGTGTGAAATTCAGAATTTGCGGAATACCCTACACCTCGAACGTGAGGCATAACTAGTTTCGTAGAAATCTTGAATACAATTTCCAAAAAAAATAAAAATAAAAAATAGGGGCCAAGAAAAATGTATTCCACAATTCCTTCAGCAGACTATTGGGCGCCGCTTGAAATATAAAAGAAATTTCCCAATAGGTCCGCTATGGATATACCAGAATATACCCTGACCGATCTCTGGCCTCCCCAAATTTTCTTCATTCCAAAAGCCAATGACATTTTTTTTTGGTCGCCTGTCCCACATTAAACGATCTGGCCTAGACAGACCAAGAGACGTCGTAGCGTCGTGTGCAACAAAACGCATTGATTTCCAATCTAAATAAATAAACTGACATGACACGTGGCGGAGAAGGTGGTGGAGGACTACCAGACGATGGTGACAATGATTGTGATGATATTTATTATTTTTATTATTCTTGTTGTTGTTATCATTGCAAATTCGAAAGATGCGAATAAAACAGAAATAATATTTTCATTATTTATTGCATTCTGTCGGTTTTTATTTTTTCTATTCTGGGCAAAAAAATATTAACTTGACTGGATGTCTAGCTAGATACGATGTGTAATGCATCGGTAACAGCGTTGAATGACATTTTCCAAATTGATATTGACATTTTTATTATTGTATGGAATTATGACAAGGAACTTTATCAAGAAGTAAATGCTAAGAGACAAACACGTGGGGATTTAAAAAAAATATATTTTTCCAATGAGTAGTGTGTGGGGATTTTTCCGAAGACCCACAAAGACTTAATTTTCAGAATAATTCAGGGATCAATACAAGCTCGTATTTTTTAATTAAATATTTTTTAACGATTTTCCAAGGTGAGGATTTTTAA